AAAAAAAAAAAAAAACTATTACAAGAATTTTTATCTTATGCTGGTATATATTTATTTCGACAATTATATATCTGCTATACGGAAGCGCACGCAATATACTATATTATTCATATTCTGTACAATTATTACATCTAAATTATTTTTAAGTAAGTACGCCACAAGAGTAAGACGCAAATTGCGCACAGTGACAATTCGAAAAAGCACAAGTATTTCGTTCAAACTGATGTTGAAAATAATACGATTTAAGATCACAAAATTTAGACGTGTACATATACAATGCAGGATATATGTTCAAAAAATATTTATTTGTGTATATATATTTATAAAACAGAGAGACGCTTGACACAAATTTCCAAACGAGTCTTGAATTTATATGTGAAAAGAATTATTTATATTTTTAGAAAAATATATCCTCAAATGTATATCTTCAAAAATTTGACTTTTGTTGTTTTACATACTTATTATACATGTGTATATTAATTGTGTTCGCTGTGCTTTAGGCGCGAGCAGTGTTGCAATCAGAAATAGAGACTCGCGCGACGTGTGTTTCTTTTCGTGTTTTTGTGCGCATCCGGGTTTTCTAAACCCCGCAATAACACCGTAAAGTCGCGATGCGCCGAAAACGGTGACATTCTCTAAGATTGTTGACGCATGGATCATTCGTCAATCATAAGTTCGAAGTGCACAGCACCCTTTTTCTCGGATCTGATCGAACTATATTCGATGTTCTTTGCCCATGCTCGACATTCTACGTTGATGAGTTGATTTCCTGGAAAGGTAATTCAATACAAATATAAACGTGAGAATTTTTCTTGCCACGTCCAGAATTACAGCTAACGAGATCACGATATATATAAGCGAACGAATCTGAAAATAAACGATACTAACGCGATATTAAAAACTACCGAGCACAGTAGCAAAATTAATCGCGTTCTTTGCTTTATAAAAACAAAATGGAAATATAAAAAATTGATTCACCGTATCATTACAAATGAAACGATTCCTCGAATTATCCAACACGTACGCGTTCCAAGCGTATTCTGTCGCCTCGCTCGATACAATACGAATATGCGCAAACAAAGATTGCAATAAAATAAATTGCACGCAATTTGTTGTCCTCGGCAAACAATTAATTTGTCTTTAGCAAACAACAACGCACGGTTTACTGAAGATTTATGAAATCCGAGATGGCGGATTAAATCCGTGAATACATTCAGCTTCGAAACAACATGCTGGCCGATGACACCTTTCGTCGACCGATATCGTACCGCAACACACCGGCTTTTACCGGTTTCATCTGGAGTGCGTCATTTGCTTACAAGTCACATGAACCGGTCAATGATGAATAAAATATTACATCTCGACGTACGATGCACATTTTAAAGAACACTAATAACAATAATATATCATAGATAACAAAAATTACGACACGCGAAATATATCACGTACGTCACTTTATATATATATATATATACAACAATGCACAATGAAAATATTTTAATATCAAAAACAATTTTAATATCAAAAACGATGGAAATCGAACATTATTGACACGAATTTATTTTGAATGCGATTTTTTGTTATAAAAAAAAAACGAGGAAGATAAAAAATACGTTCTCGCGATCTCTTTTGTCAAAAAATATTTGCACATTACTTGTTCCAATAATTAATAAACGAGATATTGTTATCGTCTTACTTTTTGGTCGACGAAAATGGACAGCGACGACCGGGCTTAAGTAGCCCGGGATATTTGTGTACGGATAATAAAATCCTGGAAAGCCGTGTCCTCGCGGATAATACGACAGTTCACCGATACTTTCGACATCGTGAGGATTTTCTCCCTTGCAGGACACCCATACGGTATTTAGCTGCAATATAAAAAAAACAAAACTGTGTACACATTACGCGTGAAATATCTCTGCAGCTTTTTCAAAAATTTATACAACATGCAAAGCATGACAAAATCTCAATATCCTTAAGTTTATACGAGAGTTGAAATAAGAACTGCTTGTGATGAATTTATATATTGTAGCAAAAAGTGAAAGGATTTGAGAGGTAATTTTATATTACGGGAGATATATTCAATGTTCTCTCGCGTGCAGAGATAGTACGCGCGCAAATAACCCAAATTTACAAGTTTAATTCGTGATTGTGCAATACGAAACAACAAATCATTCAAGCAATTCACTTTATGTGAATATAAAAACGGAAAAATAAATAATGACATTTATATTGAGTATATCTGTCACTTTATCATTCTCAGAAAATTAACACTGACAAAAAATCCGTTACGCGTGACAAGTATAAATAATTAAGCGACTTTTTCTCTCCGAGTTTTACTCGAACCGAAATATAATTTATCGACTGACATAATTAACTGACCGACTAACTAACCCATGAAGCGTCGAGTTCCTGTATATATCTGCGTAGGCTTTCTGGCATCTCCTTCGGCAAATTCTGAGTGTCGTTATAGTATTCAGGAATCCATCCGTATATCTGAAAAATGTCATTTCAAAACGTTGCAAATATACAATCCAATGTACAGAATGCGTGGAAAACATTTTCCGTCGATGATGGAAAGGATCGAAATAAATGTGTTTTGCTTTAACAGCCTCGTGTCCGGTTTGGAAATGTCTGCGATGATATAAAAGGAGTGTCAAAGTGTCTGGATAGATGAGAGAAATTGCGTGCTGTTAAGAAAGTCCGGGACCTACTACATTCAAAAAATATTCGTTAGAAAATTTATGTGACAAATAAAAACTAAGGATTTCGATGAGATGCTTTGTAGTTTTTCAATTTTAATCAAATTGAAAGGGTTTATACGCTCACCCTGTTGAGCTTGATGAAGACGCAAGGTGCCGAGTTGTTATAGCCGTATTGTCGAGTCGGCGAACATGGTCCCCAACTGTTCACGTCGACCGCGCATACATTACCGGACTTTGGCGGCATGGTGTAATTGCAAATCTGCTGGTTTCTACCCTCATTTGGCAAAAGTGACGAATTAACGTACTCTGTCGAATTTAGCAGAGACACGATTAACTGTGCAATTTGTAACACATAAAAATAAATAAATTAACGCTACAGATCTCTGACAAGATTTGATGGATTGGACAGGTATTTTAAACAGAACATTTCTTCGCACAATATAATTCGCGGAAAATATAATAACGAAGAGAACAGAAAGAAAGATTCAAAGATTGAACTAATTAATCGACTTGTTACTCACGCTCCAAAAACTTATCCAAGAGGTGCGTCCATTTTTTCACTTCAGTCGCATTTGACGCGCTGTACCAAATGAGCGATCTCTCGTCGGCATTATCCGAAATCGGTCGAAATCCCAAACCTAATGATCAATTACATCAAAAAACGATGGAATCGAAAAAAGAGAGAGAAATGAGAATAAACCGCAAGATTATTTCAAAGATTGTGAATACTAAACAATTATTTTCAAAACTGTCGACTGACGATTTTTATTCTCGTACGATTCACGCGCGCGACAACGTTGACAACGTTGTTGTCATTCAAGAGTGAGTTTGAATTCTTCGATAAAGTAAAACACACAAAGATGCGTTCACTTACCTCTCAGCTCAAGATCTCAAAAAAAGATAATTATGCGTCCAGCAAAAGAAAAACAAAAGTTTTGGAAATTTATTTTCAGTAACGAAAACTACTTGGACGTTTTGCAATAAGAAAATTTTTAGCACACGCGTACAGACAAAGCAAAGAGTAAGACAGATCTCACCTGGATTGGTACCTATGAGGCTGCTGCTTAAAATCCACGTAGGTTTTTCGTTGCTCAACGTGGAGAACATGCCCTTCATGCAGATAGCGTACAGCACCGCCAGCCCGGCGTAGAAACAACCGTAAAAGATGAGAGTGATGCCTGTAAATTAAATATGAAATTTTGAACAAACTCGATTGAGAATATAACTTCAACAATTTTCAAATCAATAGACGTTTGGCCAATATAAGCCAAACACACTGTGGTTCTCTAGAAAGAAAAAGTTCTTGACTCGGTGATATTTTCACGAGAGAGGAAAGAAGAGGGAAAGGAGAGAATCTCCATTGCGCTATTTATACTTTTGCCATTGACGCATTTGGGCGCCGTCGCGCGTGATCCAGATAAGCATCGTACGCGAATTTGTGCCGAACCACGTGCCACGAGAAGATCATTGTGGGAGAGGAAAAAGGGAAAGGGAGAGGCAAAACACACACAAACTTAACTGAGAAAACTCTTTTCTGCTCTTTTTTTTTTGTCGGAAACAGACTCAATTCCGCAATCGCAAAAACCGCACAATTCTCACTTCGGCCGCTTACGCAACCCGCGTAGACCGAAAAATTTTCATCATTTCGGCCGATCGAACGGAAAATATTTAAAGCCCAGGGCTTAGTGCCAACGCGCGCTCTAAATATAGATCCTTTTTCAGAAGCAACGTGAATCTCTAATGGGCCGGGCCAACTGTGTGTACCTCGCTGTTCTTCTATCATACGTACACGCGTGCGTGCGTACATGTGTGTGTGTGTGTGTATAATATATTCTCGACAAAAGTTTTAATAATCTCCGCAGCGAAGATCATGCTCGATCCGCGTCTTTCTGGAATAATCTGGATATTCCGATGCTTCGGTTTGTTCGATGTACAAGCGACTTAGCTGAGAAGCCGAGCTAAGAATCATGACCTTCGTTTTCTCTTTTTCTTTTTTTTTTTTTCGCAACGGAGAGACTCGCCGTCGAGATTCTACAAAGTGGACCGGTTTCAGACGCGCGAGGTTGAAGACTTACGGTGGCCCTTCTAATTCATCACGATGGCGCATGTTCTGGCACACTTTAATGTCGCACGATAACGGCATCGTTAGAGAGAGAGAGAGAGAGAGAAAGAAAGAGAGAAATAGACGATTTTTCGATCGTCGCGGAATCGATCTTTTAAAGGCGAGCGAAAATTGCGATAGAAGATCGCGAGAAACGCGACCGATATATCGGTCGCGTATATTTTGGAAACAGCGGCCGAGGTCGCGAGATAACGTCAGTTTAAGAACGAATTCCGTATAGTGCGCTCGTAATAATCGCTGTGTTATCACTCGGTTGTTCATCCAGAATCACAAGACTTCGTGCCTTCGCTCCGCGATGATTCGCGAAGAACCAGGAAATCGCGCAGCAGACATCTGTGCGCCTTGAAGAGTTTGAGCCCGATATCGGAATCTCCAGCGCGCTGAGTAAATAACGTTCGCCGCGTATCGTCGTTGCGATACGAACGAAGAATCGCGATCGAACTTAACTTAATTTTTTCTATTCGTCTTCTATAAATATGTAAATAAAACAAATAATCTCGCACGAAAACGTTGATTTTATAATCGTTTAAACGAATGTTGAATTGTTGTTCTGTGTGCGCTTAATTTATTTGGAAGCTTGAGAGAGACTTCTTCGGTTAAAGAATCCGCGTTAGGAAAATAATCTGTAATTAGAAACATTTTGTTTTTCTCTGCATCGCGCGTTTCTTGGTACAACTTGAAAGTGTTACATTGTCCACGTCAAAAGTGTCATTGTTCACGTTGGTTCTGGTTTTTTTCTCATTGTATAAAAACCCAAGCGACGTTTTGCAGATACGTTATTTTTTTTTTCTTCATAAAAAAACTCGTTCAGTTCTCTCAAAATCACACGAGAATTTAGCGACACCGAAGCCGCGTGAGAATTGGTTTGATCAGCGTGAAAATTTACATGCGTTTACGTGAGCGGTAAATTGCGAGAAAAATAAAACGACTCACGTTGTTAATTCACACGTGTCGTCGCACATTTTCAACATTTGCGCGAACGCGCAAAAGTTTTGTAACAATCTTTTGCGTAAATCAAAAGAACGTTCCGCGGCAATTTATCTTACGTCGCACGTTTAAACACAATAACTTACGCGTATGTGTATTTGTGGTGTGAATTACACCACGTAATTAAGAGGCGTAATTGCTTGAGCGTAATTTTTATGTAGAAAAAAAATAAATTTTACATGTAAAAAAAAACAAAAATCACTAGAATTCTATTTTGTAGTGTGTAATGTTTGAGATGTCTCTCGAGACGCTCGGTCAACACAGAGCGTGCCGTAATCTTTATTAGAACGTCATAAAAGTTTATTAGATATAACTTTTGAAAAAATATTGTTTGCCACACAACGATAGCTGTACGTTGTCGAGTGCGCACGCGTGTGTGTGTTGAACTATAGATATATTTATAAGATAAAAAATTACATAATCGTCGACATGGGAAAAAGATATCGTCCTCGTCTGCTTTTTTACTTATTCGCGCACACTCGAACGCGTAATTCCGTTGCGTTCGAAACAAAAGAAACGAACGAGGACACGCGTTCGAAAACGTTTCTCGTGAACAAGCCGCACATCGGCGTTAGCCGATCAATAATGCGGTCGGATAATTACATATTCAATCAAACGGAAGAAAAAGAAAACACCACGTGTATCTGTCGTGAACGCGTCTCTCGCGACTGGTTTTCTGTGCCTCTCCTGTGCAGAAGGAAAAAAGAATGTCGTGCGCACCGATGGCACACAATGACGTCAGTAAAAAAAAAAAAAGATATCTACAATGATGATAACATGCGAGCGACGTGTCTCGTTACGAAAAGATCTTATCGTTCCTTGGAAAACGAAACTTCCTCCCGGCTGATATCGAGAAAGTCTTGAGATCGCCGCCTGCTGACTAGTTATGTGAGATGCATGTTCTTATATTCCACGTGTTCATCTTTGTTTTTGATTTTTTTATTCGCGTGAGAAATTAAATATGCGTCTTCTATTTCTTATCGAGGAATTCAGAATTCTCGTAACCGAGTAGGGTATCTTCGTTTTACGTAAGAGGAAAAGATTTAAATGCGAAAGAATGAAAAAATGTGCAAATATAAAACACAATTAATAGAAACAAAAAAGAAAAAATCTCGTCCGATCTCAAACAAAGTGAAATTGCATCTGTAAAAAAAAAAAAAAAATAATGAAAAGTTAAAAAACCTCGAAACATACGGTGAAAAGTGCGGGATTAATTGAATATGCAACTTACGTTTCATCGTACGCAACGTGTGATCGTTGCGTGAATAAAATCGTTTGCGAACCGACGAAACATTAAAATGCAAGTGAAATGGGAGCGGAGTGTGTAACGTTTTTTTGTATAATTTTACTTTGTAAAACGCTAATTATAACGCCGATGACGTGTTTCCTGATCCCCATAAAACGTTTCTTCTTCCAATCGAATATATTCTATTGTATAACCTTGCCGAAGAGAAGACGTGTTTGCAATCAATTTTATTGCTTGAGAAAACTGAGAGACGTTTGCGCGAAGCCAATCATTCAAACCCGTCACACTCAATATCTTTTCGCGAGAGAAGAAGAAATAACCAAAAGATTACAGACAAAGGCGAAAGAGACTTTTGTCGCGAACTTTTTATTATTTTTATATGTAAAAATTCAAGTTTTTTTTTATATTTTTTTCAGTAGTGCAACAATTTTATTTTGTATATTGTTAAGATACAAATTTTTAATTTTGATTAATCGAGCGATGAAAGACGATTGACATTTCTGTTTGAAGACCCAATTTCGAAATATATAATATTGTATATCGTCTGCATTTTTTCAATTATTTTTTTTTTTTAAAGAAAAGCATTTTGATATGATTTGTAGTATGAGTATCATTAAAAGTACTTTGCAGAGAGGCACCTGGGCGCCTTTGAATACACTATTTTTAGCAGTTGGCATGCGTGCAATAACGTATTTGAAACGATGTCCCAACGCGCGACGCGTTCAAAGTTAAAATATATCTTTACACACACACACACACACACACACATTAACATGCAATATTCCACGAGCGCTTAATTTTACAGTTAATTGTTTCAGTCATATCGCGCGTGTATGCAAGTTTGATTTATTACTTGTCCGACAAATCAAACTTTACGTCAGTACAAGGTCGCGTAAGTGTTTCTGTTTTATTCAATCCGCTCTATTCGAGAGCGATATTCATCAGAACTGAAGAATTTTGAATTTGAATTTCGAAAGCGAAAGAAGGCGTTTTTTGTGTGTGATAAAGAGCGTTAATTAATTCGACAAAAGATATCCGACATTTTTAGGATAAAAATACATACACATAGTGTATCGCAAGTTGTTTCTTATCTTTAACGATGGCGGCAGTCGTCATTGCGCGCGAAGTGTGCTAAACTTTTATGAAGATAAAAAAAAGACTTCAAAAAAGACGCTACGCGTAAAATCACGAGAGATATGAAATTCTTCAGATGTGAAGTTTTTTTGTACACATTACGTGTGTCGTATAAAACTTTATTGGAATTCATCAATTGCGCGGCACATTAAAGAGCATTGAGGAAAATTCAAGATATTCTTTTAGCGGAAAAAACGAACGGTGTATATCACAGTGAAACAAATTACTTGCAGACGTAGGCGCAGCGAGCAAGTAATTTGTAAAAGTTTCGTATTCGAGAGAAAATGTCTTCACCGCGACTTATGTACGTGGACGGAAGGGAGAGTTAGACAAAATTTGGAAGAACAGCAGATTGTGTAGGGAGTACATTTGTCGAGAGACGATTTGTGAACGCGACGATATCGATATGTTGCCGTCACGCGCTCTCGATAAGCTTGACATTAGCGTTTTAAGAGATTTTAGGAAGAAAAGAGACGCGAAGAGCGGAGGAAGAAGTGAAGAAGAGAGTCTCACACTCTACAAGTACTCCCTTCATACACACACACGCTCGCTCGTGTATTAACCATCACCGATACTTATTTCCGGTGCTCTCTCATACCCAGCCACTGCCAAACTCGAGCCTCAGGGTCGGTTGCTTCTAAGCAGTCGCCAAGAAGTCTACGTAAGACATTCTTCACACGCACAAACAAACACACATACGCATACGTGGCGCTCGCGCGCGTCATTGCGCAGGTCGGATACGTTCGAGCGACAAGTACATTAATTATAATTGTATTAAGTCAACAGTCGTATTTCCACGTTGAAGTGAGATTAAATTGTGATCTAATATAAATAAAGTGCGATCGGCAAAAAACAAACACTCACGATCCAAATCGATTTCGAGAATTATTTGACACATTTTGTTGGTGAAATAATATTTGATGGAAAAAGTGAATTAATTATCGATGAGAAATTCATCATAATTATTTTGTACAAGTTACGTCAAATCAAATGTGCAAAGTTTTACTCTGTATTATTTTCTAATATACTCGCTTTTTGAAAGAAAATATTACGATCGGAATATTTCTCAATCGTCGTTCTGTCATCTAGTTTCATATGTGATAACGATAATGCTGCGATATGATAATATAAGTTTACTACACGTGATACTTAATCTTTCTGACGTTTAACGTCGTTGGTTACGTTTATTTTTGCCGAGTGACGAGGTTTTAATTTTTTTTGCATTTATTAGAATACATAATAATTTATATAAATTAAATCCTCAACCAAAAGAATTTTATATTTATTTGTTGCAATATTTAAACTAGATTGGTTCTTTTTTATTTGGTTGTGAGCCAAATAAAAAATTCGGAAAAATTGTGTGTTATCCGCACTCTTCATAAAATAAAATCTTAAATTAATTAAATAAATCTTACAAAATACCGAGCGCACGAGATACACACTCTATGCGCGCGATAAGCATATTTATTATCTACTCGCAACCATTATATAAAAAATAAACAGACTAAAAAACGCTATTGTTTTGTCTGTATTGTTAAATAATAGTGGTAATACACATGTAACAAAATGGAAGAGTTTGCATATTGGAAGACGTATTTTGCGAGATAATAATTCTTTATTATTCAAGTGCATCAAGCAATGTCTCTTTTCCGAAATCACGATTTTTACATAATTTTTCAGCTTTTTATCAGCATCAAGTTTCTAAATTGGGACTCTGCATCGTTAAAACCACAGTTTCCTCAAACTATTTTATACACGTACGCAGTCATACATCATTTCAATATTGAATCACACATTAGCATTTCAAATTCAACATCGATAGAGAGCTCTTATTTTATATCGATATCAATACCTATTCATAAAAAAAAAAACTCGTCAGAATTCACAAATCTCATTACCCGGCAATGTGATGATTACGTTAATTAAACCGACACACTGTGAAAGTAATCCGAAGACCGCATGAAATAAGCTTGAATTTTTGTTTTTTCGCTTCTGTATACGGTATTTCTCTCGCGTTCTATCTCTGTCTAATTATCTACATTTTATCTATCAATCGATCCGTCTATACGAGGAAAATCGTTAATATGGTAACATACACTGCGTGTAACTTACGGCCGTAAGTTACGACCGTTACAGTGCTTGTAACAATTTTGTAAGATCGCTAAAAAGGTGAAAAAAGAAAAATATGATTAAAAAAAAATACTTTCAAGAGACAGAAAGAGAGAGAGAGAGAGAGAGAGAGAGAGAGAGAGAGAGAGAGAGAGAGAGAGAGAGAGAGAGAGAACCCACACGTTCTCTCTCGCTATATCAAGTTACAACTGCTGCGATCTGTATTTTTAAGCGCGCGCGAAAATTTTCGTCGGCGTGTGTTTCAAACACCGCGCAACTTACCCCATTTTTTTGGCGTATGACCGCAATACGTTCCTTCTTGGGGATTGTGGATACCGTCGCGAAATATCTCCCAGCGCGTCCTGCTATCAGGTACCCGCATGTAATCGAACTCGTAGGTACCATTTTGCACCTGCTTGCCGCGCACACTCATCGTGGCGATCTGTTGCTGTACGTCGGGAAACGAACAGTGACAGGTGAGACAAAGAAAGGCAGGTAAAATGCGTTTTCTCTCGTGTCAAATCCCTCTCGGGCAATTCTCCTCGCGTGCAGAGACGAGTTGTGAAATACGTGATACCGACGTTGGAACACGCAACACCACACGCAACCGAACGGAGACCGCACTTGGCCCCAACTGAGATCTGAGAGCTCGCGCCTCGATACGTGGGTAGTGAGTGTGCGAGAATATATGTATATATATCGGATGAGCGAGCGAAAAACGTGGATATCTCTGTGGAAGGGCGAGAGCCGAGCGGCGCGACATCGCGCTCACCGATCTGACCTGTCGCGAGTATTCAAATTTTGACTGTAAGGTAAAGTCTGATTTTGTTCATATTCGCCGCGAGCGCGAATTCTTTAGGCGCGCAATAATTCTCTCTTCGGCGAGGAAGAAATTTCGATCTGTGAGCAAACTGCAATATTGAACGAAGTTTAGGTAATTAATTGGTGTTCGAGAAAATCTTGGGAAGAAAGTTTCTTTTCGCGTTCCTCTTTTAGTTCCGAATTCGTCGTTGTGCGCACGCGCACGATATTCTCGCGCCGCGTGTAGCGCGCACGCGTGAACAGCGCGCGCAGATTGTGTACATACTCGCTTCTTATCACGAGGTAGTCTCGTCGGAGTTGGCTCACAAGGTTCGATTCGATCTTCCCGCGTGTTTTGTGAAAGAAAGATGAAGACAAAATCGATCGCGTAATCGTCGCGGCGGCAACGAGACCGAGTAATGCCGCGCGAATCATCGATAACATGCAGTTTCACTCCGAAGGCGGTCTAGAGTTGTTATCGAGATTCAGCGAGAAATCGCGTTCGATCAACATCGACGAGTACCTGTTTTCCGGCGCCGTCGACAATCGAAGCATCATCGAAATCGTCGGGACTCCGTTCACCGGGAAGAGTCTGTTGTATCGATTCATAGCGAAGTGCATATTGCCCGCGCAGTACAAGAAGATCAAGATCGACGGATGCGACGCCTCCGCGATACTGATCGACACCGGTCATACTCAGATAAGCAAAGTGGCCGAACTCATGACCTCCATGATATGCAGCGCGTGCGAAACTGCCGGCGCGCGATTGCCGGATGAAAAAGTCGATCTCATTGTGACCAAGTCTCTGGAGAATCTGACGGTCATTAGTTGCTGCGACAACACGCAGTTCCAGCTGACGCTCCATACGCTGGAAGATGAACTTCTCAGTAACGGGAGGGTTGCCGCGTTGTTAGCCATAGATAATATACTGGCGTACTACTGGAGGGAGAGAAGAGAAAAGAATACAAATTTCAGTATGGATTGGTACACAAAAAGCCTCATCACACTCATTCGTGCTAGAACTTCTCAGTTTAATATTGTCACAGTTTACACCAGATGGGACAAGTGGGAGAATTGTGTGTCCGAACATGGAGCACAGACAAGACACAGTTGTCCTTTAGAACAAACAAGTATAGATTATAGAATACAGTTCCGTAATGAAAGTGTACCTCAGAAATTTATTGCACATGTACAATCTGCAAATGAAACAAAACAGGTTCAGTGTATAATTTCTGATTCAGGTATAAAGTGGATTTCTTAAAGTGCTGCTTACATACAAACATTTAGTTCCAAAGAGAAATCACAGACAATTTTTAATAACAATCATCATCTAACAGAAGATACTTGAATGTTATGTCGGTTGGCTTTAAAAATATTGAACTTGTTATTGTTACTTTGCATTTTGGATTAAATAACGATATGATTTCTCTGGCTTCTCTCACTTCTTCTGCTGTTATGCCTCCAACAACATAAACAATGATCCATGAATTGTCACATGGATGAGGTATTGCTTTTTCTTTGAACAAACTGTTGGAAACACATGTAAACATTAAATTAGTTTTCTTTAAAATTTCACTGGAAAAAAAAGAAACGAAATTATTAGCTCGTGCACTTAATGCGCTCAGCTTACTTCAATTTAGACGAAATAAATGAAGATGAACTGTGATGTAAATCGGAGAGCTCAGGTCTGTCCGGGTGAAGCACGTCTGTTAGCAATTGTTGCAAGATACCAATACGTCGAACAATCTCTTGAGAACTCGATTTGGATATCAAAGAACTGTAAATAATGTAAATAAAAAGGTAAACATTTTTTCTCCGATCACACACGTAAATATAGAAAATTATGATTCACAGCCATCTTACTTTACAGCGAACTTATTGATTACATAAAAACTTTGTGTATAAACTAAAAATAACCATAGTCTTACCTGTAATCTTGTAGAGAATTACGTTGCTGTGCTATTGTGTGCAATCTCTTCATGATGACTTTTGCGTGATTTACAATCTTTTCCTTATCTAATGTTTGATCGTTCTTGCCTATTATATTGAGCGATCGTTGTTTATTTTTTGAGTTAATATTTTGATGAAATTAATTTTAGAATGCAATTCTTAAATAAGAGTAAATTTATATGTTCTAATCACATACAACTGATTTATATTTGTCAATTCTACTTATATTATATAACTAATTTAATACGTTAGTCTTCGCTGTATATTTAGCAGCAAATCCAATGTTTATCACAAACAACATAAGAAACTAAATAAAATGTTGCTTTATTTTTTTAAACAGATTATTATGTTCACATTCGTATATATTTCGCAGTATAACAATTTGCAACATACCTTTACGTGTTAATTTGTTTATATACGTTTGATACTTCGATAAATCCATGTAGAGATTTTCATGAAAATCATTGGCTAATGATATATTGTCTTCCAATAAAGCGTCGGCGATGGCATCGATCAACTGTTGTTCTTGTTCGAAAGAGAACACTATTTCAGTCCCGGCAAGCGCGTAGATATGCACCAAAAGTGTGAATATATTGTCCGTATCTAGGCCTCGCTTGTTCCGCGTTCTTATTATAGTACTGAGCTGAAAAACATCGAAATCAAATTCTAATTATTTCCTTTTAAAACTACGCAAACAAGAATTATAAGAAAATGTGACACACACATACTTGTCCGAGCACACTCGTAGAGTAACGACTTACAGCTACATTTTGCAAAACTAGTTTCTCGAGACTGATCAGTAACTCTAATTGTGACATTTTTTTCGACGTTAAAGCCTGTATAATTCCCAATACTATCTGTAAAAGAAAGCCATACATACGGAACGGAAAGTCTATTATAGAACAATTAAGTTTCATTATAGAACAGTAAGAACATACTTGAAGTTTATTGCTCGATTCCAATATGGTATGAAGATCATGCACCTCTTTGAATTTATTTACAAGTTTCTCCAAACTGTGAGCTGAAATTCTCGTCGCCGGCTTCAATTTTAAGCTATCTTTCAGTTTCGATTTCTCTTTCGTTGAAAGTATATCGACGAGCATATCGTTCAAAGTGGTCAACACATCTTTCTGATTTTTTGTAATCAATGTATTTATTAAGGTTCTGTTACTGGCCAGACATCCTGGTATCTTTTCAGAATCTGAATCCTTGAAAAGTAAAGCTTCTCATTTAATGATGGCGTTTCCCTACATTTGTTTTTTTTTTTTTTTTTTTTTTTTTTNTATTTACACGGCATGTATTACACATGTTACATATATTCTTAGCTATTAAAAATTACCTGCAGATTCTGAAATAAGGGAGACATATCTATCGCGACGTCGTTGTGGTGATCGGGTAAAGGAGGCAAAGTACAAAGTATCCTAGATAGTAACGATTCGGTATTGTTGCTAGTAGGAGTGCAAAGGTCCAACACTCTATCGACGAAGATTAAAGATACTCCTTTCTTTTTGGGACTCATTACATTCTGACGCACATGAGATTCAAATGAGACATTTATCATCTTTACTTTATCACATTATTTACTTGCAAACATTGTTCTTTAATTCTGTGCTAAGACACACTTACATTTCTGCGATCAATGGCTGCCGGTAACATCTCTAGCATATCAGCGATATATTTGCTGACTTCGCCCATAAAATAAATATCCTCTTTCACGTTTAGGCGAAAGAACAATTCGTTTAATAAATTTACAAACGTTTCAATTTTATCCTTGAGATTATTTATAGTTTCTTTACTTGTTGTCGTGAGATACATATCAGTTAATGATGGAACAATTTCAGCAAACGATGGGATCAGAAATAAATCACTGTCAATTGGGTTAAGGAAAATTGAATGTGGGAATATTTTCACCTAGAGATAAATAATGAAAATGTTAATAAATTATAATGAACTTGATCCTCTTTTACGATGAAAGAAAACTGGTACAAATGAGCATAGTCTTTCTACTCACTTCCTGAATAAAAAAAAAAATAATGTTCAGTTTTTGATTCCTTAAAGTATACAGAATAATGCTGTGTGAAAAAAAATTTCCCTTTTCTGCAAGTTTTAGAATATGCTCATTTTAAACATTATTCTTCGATCATATAAACAAAAACGATATCAACCTTTTCTCTGTTATAATCCTGTATTTCCGGAATACCCGGACAGGCAATCGTAATATGTTCAAATGCATTTTTCAGTGTTATTGTTGTAAGTATCGTTTCAATCTCACATCTATCAATACTGGCTGAAATGATAATTGCCTTTTTGCAGTTCTTTACTTCGATATTCTATAACAAAAAGTGATTTATTAAGAAAGTAATTCATCTTTTTTTCCTATGAGACAAGTCTTGCTTTTGTTAATCACATACTTCAGAAAATTCAGAAGACAATTGATAAACTGCAATTGCTCCGGCATTCTTAAAGAACGAGTATACCTTGCCACCAGTATACCAATGCAAACACTCAATCATCAAGCTGTCTATGTAAACTACGCATTCTTCTTCTTGTACAAGTTCAGCAATTTCATGCCATTCATCAGTAAGAAATTGTTCCATGTCATTAATACCTTCCATTGTTGACTGCATATACTTCTGCACAATCTCAACACAATAGAAATAATTCAGTCCTGAAAACAAAAGCAACATAAAGAGACTAAGAATAAAAGAAATAATTTTTAAATTTTATTAGGTTTCTATTTAACTATTGAATATAACATACGCATACAAATAGTATCAAGACAATACTATTTTCATAGAAAATTAAATTTTCTAACACAACATGTTAAATGTACTTTATGTCGTTCGCGTGTTTGTTACAGTACAACGAATTAATTAAGTTTTTAATTACATTATTTGTTTTTATTTACATATGTTCACGCATGTACGTGATAGATGTCGAAATGATCACGTCACAGCGAGTGAACACTAGGTTTTCCATTAACGTTTACCAGAGAGAGCAGCTGTCGCATTATATTTTTTTTTGTATACTATGATATTTTCTTACAATTCTCGTGACCCGCTGGTTTTTCAGCGCGATACATCCACGAAAAAGTAAATGTAGGGACTACACAGCATGACATTCACTTACAGAAATAAACAATGATCACGCATCAACTCTACGTGTCATTCGGTTCGAATCCGTGCTACATTTACTTTACCACTGTCGATATGGCGTAGACGCTCCCCGGTCCCGCTTTCAAGCGCCGCGATGTCCAGGTTTATGTTTCTCTGATGCGCATATCAATTTATATATGTACTTATTGCACCTTATTATCTGTTTACACGTAATACGAAGAAGTGTCCGCAATCGACGAGCAAATTTTGAACGAATGTGATCGATATCCCCGAAGAGATATTGCGATAGGATTTTTGTCTTTTTGTCGAGCGTCTCAAGATTTTATTACGAACATAGGTTGAGCAATTAGTCTTTGCGTGTCAATATAATATAAACTAATAAACAACACAGATATACCACTCGTTGAGGAGAGAGGAGCAGTTTGTACTCTAAAAAATTGCTTTTTTGAAAGAGTTGTATTTTTGACATTTTTTCGTCCTAATGGCACTCGCAGGACCCGATTTACCGCCAACTCCTCTTACTATGAAAAATATTCAACAATATTTGACAATTGCGTCAAAACATGACCAGCGAGATAGTGTTGTCAGTTACTGGTGTATGTATAAAAAAATTGTCAAAATTTGGTTTGTTTTTTTGTCTTGCATAGCATTTGTACTTGATTTGTATACAGGTCGCCTTTACGCCCTTCAAACTGGATTAAAGCTAACAACCAAAACGCAAGAAGAAACGAATTTTTTACTGAAATTAATGGACTGGTTGGAAGCGACAAAGAAAGCGCTACACGATAACGAAGCTATCACTAATGATGTGGCTGCTCAAGCACACTTGGAGAATTGGGCCTTAAAACTGTTTTTATATGCTGATAAGAATGATAGAGCTGCAAACTTTTCTAAGAACGTAGTGCAAAGTTTTTATACTGCTCAGGTATTGTACGATGTGTTAACACTCTTTGGAGAACTAAGCGTAGAAGCTGCACAGAATCGCAAGTATGCGCAATGGAAAGCAGCTTATATTCACAATTGTTTGGCAACTGGAGAGACTCCAGTGCCAGGACCGATGAAAGAAGATGATGAGAATGAACCAGATGAAGCATCAAATAATTTTGGTAAAAAGAGATGTATATATTTTTAATTTTTTAAAACGATCAGATTATAAAAAAAACAAATTTGTTTGTTAGATGACAATTCGGAAACAAACAAAGCACATTCTATTGACAGTCCCAAGGATGAGGAATCACAAAACATTCCACTTGTTCCTTCAAATCCACCAGTTTTAAGAACACAGTCACATGATTCCCAAGATGATACTTCGTATAAGACAGAAGGTAAGTTTTGTGGTGAATGTTATGTGGTTTTAATTAAAAAACAAAAAACATCTGAATTACCAAGTCAGATGTGAGTAATTGATTTGATTTCTGACAATCTTACAGGTGGTGCTAATTTATCGATTGAACAAATTGGCAAGGCTCAAAAGTTCATCAAGTGGGCGGGTAGTGCACTAGATTATGACGACGTACCGACTTCTATAATGAACCTTCAGAAAGCTTTACATCTTTTGACTACGGGACAAGAACTCGCGTAGATCCTTGAAACAAGTTAACATGTTCAGTAACACAGCTTATTTGCAAATGATTGTGCTAGATACATTATCTGTTTCACATGGCCAGTAAAATACTTTTATTAATATTCACACAAAGCTTTTGTAAATTGTGACTAAGAACAGTAGGAAAGAATGAGAAAATAATGGATAGAAAAAACAGGATTTGTGTATTAGTATTTATATTGGATTATTGCCTGTTTCTAAGTAGTCACTAAAACAAATCAACTGAGACTTTTTACAATGCTAGTGACATTGATTTCAAGAATTATAAAGTTCTTGAATGAAATACAAATTGTTCTATTTTTTAAAGTTACGAGACTATTTTTAGATTACAACTGTTCCATATTGCAGTCATTGCTATTTGAGGTCATGTATAAAGTTGACAATTTCTTGTTTTTCTTGTACATAATAATTTTACATACAGTCATATTTTATACACACGCATACATGCTTAAAACGCGTGAAAAGATTAATAAATATAATAAATAATTAATTATAAAAACATGGACTTTTTTTTGTGTGGCTTGTCAGCTCCGATCATCCATCTTATACGCCCGTCTGCAAATATAAAAGCACGTATATAAATATTAATCTTTTCTCGACAATTTTCAATGTCTGTTGAATAAGACAATTCTGATTTAAACAGATTTATTATTTTACCTTTTCATCTCGCAGATATCCTGGTAGATTCGCACATGTCACGTTCTCCTGTTAGAATCAGTTCATCAGTGCGAATTGGTGAAACTGGCTCGTAAAGACGTAACTGTATGGGTGTGTCAATGATACAATCGGAGGAAAGTTTATTACATTCTAACAGTTTTATTCGCATTTTTTTTTTTTTTTTTTTATCAAATTGTTCGATCATACTCGTTCGCCGCACAGAGTTTTATGAAATAAATTACGCGCACTAGAACGCACGTGCCTTAATTATACTAAGAGATGTTTCTTATATGTTCATACGCGCAACACACTCACGCGGTGTATAAGGATACGTTACATTCATTCAAATGGCAGTTAGTGCCTCGTGCTTAAGCTAGTAAAACATATTAATTGCATCGATATCGATAATTGGTGTTTTGTCAGCGTCTAATTAAATTTTCTCTCTCTCTCTGTTTACGTCACAACCGATTCGTTTACAGTTCATTATCGTCATACTTGTTTATTGCTGCTGTTTACATGAGAAATTTATAGACACATTACACACTACACTTCCAGTTTGTCCATTTGTTATTGCAGTTACAAATATTTTATATATTTTTATATATGTTATTTATAATTAATTGTTTACATTCTCATAACATGTACCGATCTTTATACTATTCTATATATAATATTCCGCTTGTCAGAACATCTAAATAAAGACTGTGTTTCAAACAATTCATTGCCAGTATTGAAAATTTATGTAATTCACGTTAAAAATCATATTAGACATTTTTAATTACTGGCAGTGAATTTTGAAACGTAGTCATAATCGATAAAAACGGAGTTATATGACAATTGTTTATCCTCTTTCCTACAGTTAGTGTTCTAACTGTAATGTAAATAGAGAGAGATGTGTTTCTTCAACCATGATCTTAGAATGACAACCGATATTGATGCAATATCGTATCTTTAATGGATCGATGGTGCTGCGGAATAGAAAAACACACACTGTCGGTGATTAACGAAATCGCGTTTCGATTATGTAAAGAATTGTTGTTACAATTATATTTTCTATTTGTATTCGGGAGAAAAGCTATCTCTATGTATGTGCTTTGTATGAAAACCAACCAACGGTCCCGCGTTTCACGGCAGAAAGCGTTACACGTTTCAAGGGGAGAAAGAAATAGAGAGAAAGAGAAAGATAGAGAGTTAAGATGAGAAAGGGGAAAAAGAAAACATTTAAAATAAATAAATAAACTTTTATATCTCGGAATCAATATTCCAAACAATAAAATTTGTGTGTGGAATCGAAGTGGGTTAAGGCGCGGAAAGGAGTATGATCTTCAATCATAATCCCGCTCAGTCTTGCTTCTTAGCTTTGTCATCGACGCCATTTGCCGTCACCAACCATGCCTCTGCTCGTCTCTCCTGCCAGTCGATCGCCAGTCGCCCGATCAGCATGAAGAGAAATACCTAAAATGGATTCGTATACATAGAATTACAATAAAACCAGCCAGTTTGCAGATCACAAAACTGGCAACAACGAGCAACGCGCAAGCAGAGATTACACTCACCAATGCCGGAGCGATTCTCTCGAACTTGTCGTGGATCATATAGTGAGAGTACACGGCCATCATCATCAACACGAGCAACACCATGTTTGAATAAGTTTTAACTTTCTCTGAAAGCAATTCACACAGAAATGATCCAATCAGTTCATCAGTTTTATTAACAATTAGGATAATAAAATTGGACAAATAAAGATTTGCTCGCAGCAAAAACGCGAAAGTATAATACAAAAATAAAACTCTGCATGTACGTGTTCTTGTTGAATTTCATGTTCTGTGTAATCAAATATTCGCAGGCCGAGAGAGAGATTTATGCGCGTGATGCGCAACGAAAAAATATTTCGTGTGAACATTGATGCGCGAGATGGAACATCGATATAAGATGGAAGGGACTGTGTGTGTGTTGTCGCGTTTTGGGATCGTATAGTTTAATTCTTTGCACCTACTACTTGGAACAACTGCCAAGGCGAGACCGCAGACAATCTCGAGAATGCCGACGATTCTGCGATACCACTTGCTGGGCACCTTAAACTCAAGCACGCCCGAGAGCGGGAACACTTTTGCGTATTTTACATAGTCTTTTCTCTGAAAAAAAAGAAAAAACAAACGGTAAAAGTCGTTAGCTCTTTCGAAAGCGTTACCTGCTCCGATTTATCTCTAATTTCTCATACATGTATATGCGTATATTTAAAAAACTGTGTCTAAAGAAAATTCTAACTCTAGGCTTGTTAGATAAATTTTTCTTTCTGTTGTCTCATCGAAAGTGTTCAATGACAATTTGCGCGAAATATATATATATATATATTTTTTTTTTTTTCAAACGCGTGTAAATTAATACACACATACTAATTCGAACTGAATTGAATTCGAAAATTCATATCGGATGTTTAATTTGCATTTCGTATACGTAAACTTCTTTTATTTCTTTATTTGTTTTTTTGTGAAATTTAAAGTATCTTTCTTGCAATGAGCTTTTTAAACTTCACAATAAAAGAGGAATAAACGGGTTATTTATTATTTATACGTGAGATGCAAATTGAACATTCTCGATATGAAGTTTCAAATTGAATTCAGTTCGAATTATTGTGTGTATTAATTTACACTTAAAAAATATATATATATCTATTGTTTGACTATTAAGATTATTTCTTGATTAATTTAATAAAGACAGCTCTCCTCTCTTTTTATGAATATTTATAAAAAATATTGAAAAACAATATATATATATATATATACCTTTTAAAAGTCTATTGATTTTTTGAGAGACAACATTTGCGACAACATATGTATTTATCACATAGTACGTACATAGTATTTACATGACAGTGAATTAAGTAATCGAGATACAGCGTTTTGGCAACCTCGTGGAAATCCGACGAAGGTCTCGAAGAAAACATGACACTTTTGCGCGCTCTCTCTCCCTCTGATGCGCGCGAAGTTATATAAATATCATTCGCGAACAAGTTAGCGAGTTTACTGGCGGTCGACCAAGCGATCTGCACAGGTTTAACTTAATATCACTTTCGTTTGGCATCATCGAACAAAACCGAAATAGCAGAGAACTACATACCAAGCGCGCATTTTTACGTCAGGATTTGATATTAAAATTCACACATACGTGCGTGTCTGTTATGCAAATTTATTTCGTTCTGAAATTTATTTTATTCGCAAAACGCACTTAAAAAAAAAAAAAAAAAAGAAAACGAGAAGTGATAAACACAAATGTAAACCACCGTAATTTGCAAGTGAAAGATTTTGCACGCTTTCTTACTGATGATGCGAACGAGAGAAGAGGTTTCTTTGAAAGAGATGACGTTCCACATATATATCGCGATTTGTTCGTCAACGGATAGCCAAGAAAAAATAAGACGAACACGTGGCTACAATAAACAAAGCGAGGATTAACACACAAGCGAACTTTATCTATACATAATAATATTACATAACACAACAGATTGTTAGACGATCGTGTATACGACGCGTTCAACAACGATTTTGGTCACACTTCGACGTTCCCGTAAAATTACATAAGCGGAAGTCGCACAAAATTTGATTTTCATTTTATTTACTTACGAGATATATAAGTAAACCCGCGCGCGCGGGTTGTCTTTGACAAAACACAAATATTTTACCAATCAATCAAAATCGCATCATCGCAGCATCAGCTCTATGCAGCCAGCTCGTCTCTCTGTATCTTCTCAACAAACGGTCTCGTCGGAATGTATCTTTTTTACTGGGAGACTCACCAGATCCCTGTGCAGGTCCTTGCTGATGTAGGACGTGAGCTTCAAAGTGCCAGCGAAAAGGAAGAACAAACCGAGAAGCACCGAAAGCGATTTAACCACTACAGAACCCATTTTGACGCGGAGTTTACGGAACTCGGTGAGAGTGCCGCCAATCGATTGCCGGAAGCGAAGGCGACGCGGACCGTCGCGATTAATCACAGAGAGATCCCGTCACCCGTATAAAATTGCACCACCACCCCAGGTGTGGAAAACGTCGTTCACGAGCGCATACTCGCGCGGATAACGCGAGCTGAAACGGACGTTCCCCGGACGTTACAGGACGGCTGCGACAGCAACGAGGATGACGGTGGCAACGTCCATGACGCAGGTCATTCCGACGACGTCCTCTGTATGCAGCTGGGAAACAAACGGGTTGGTAAGAACGAAGAGCGACGCGGCGCACAGAGAGACGTCCCTGATGACGTCAACGCGCGCGTCGCGACATCGTCACCGGCTATTTTCTGATCGATACCGCGCCTCTTAGCCGCGCTTCTCTTCCTCGCTAATCGATTACACCTCTAAGATGCACTCGCTCCGTTACGATTTGCCAGGCGCGCCTGGTTACCCTGTGTAAAACTCAACGAGCGGATTAATTCTTTTATCTCTATTAGTATTTTTTATAATATAATGCAGAGTGAATTAAGTTCGAATGAAGAAACAAAATTGTTTTTCTTTTTTTTGCATTCAAGTCGAGATTTTTATTAAAAAAAAAAATCACAATATAGAATATAATAATTCAGAGATGCGAAAAACTACATAAAGCATCTAAAAAATATAAATCTTCGATAAAATTTAATTCGGTTTAAAAATTTGTGTCAAGCTACACTGAAAAAATATCACGCGTTTTTATTTTTTCAGAGTTATGTTCATTAAATTGATTATAATATTTCCTACGCGTATTGTCATTCAAAATATTAAAAAAAAAAACACCGTTGTTAAATTGTTAAGATGAGAAACAATATAACACGCGAAAGTATCTCGAGAGAATCGCATCGTGCAGTTTTAATGGATGTCGCTTGTAGGCGAAACAAATTTACTTTTTTTGTTCAAATTCTGTACAAATATTCTGTACATTGTACGATTATTTACAATAAAACAACAACAATTTTATCGGCGTTTAAAGCCGATTATTATTTACATTATCACTTTAGACGAGCGCGAAGCTTTGCAGGCGCGTGGTTTCAATGCGCTTTCGCTAGACTCGTTCACGACAGGAGACGTTTTCTCTACCGTCGTGTTCTTCAAGATGGTCATAGAAGCGTTATTGTCGCTCAGTGTCACGGCTCTTCGTCGACGCGAAATTATCACTCCTGTACTTTGCTGATCCTTCTTGCTCTTTGTTACAGACAAGCTTGTTTTCTTGACACCGTTCGATCGAACGTTAACCGTTTCTTTCGCCGCGTTGGTTTTCTTCACTGTTGTTTCCGAAGTGTCATTATTACATTCCGTTCTCACGGAGGATGTCTGTTGGACCGAAGGTACATTGTGATCGAACGTCACAGAATTCTGAACGTAATTGTGATCGCGGAGGCACGAATGGCTCATTTCGATGTTGCTTTTATCCTCCGATGTTCGATGGCACACGTCGCTTTCCGTTGACCCTTGATTCTTATCTTTATCAAGCGCCGTGATTTGATCCGCGATTTCAGTTGTACAACTCGTTACTTCTTTAACATCGAGTTTGTGAATACGATCGTCATCAAACTCATTCGTTTCTTTCTTTTTATCAATGTTTTTACGAACGAGATTATGAATTTCTTCAGTCTCGTTAACACTTTCCGTATTGGAATTGCTCACATCTTTGTTTTCATCGGCGAGTTTGGCAACAACAGAGCTCGGTGATTTTTCATCAACGCAAGGTCTACATGCGTCATCGTCAATATTTTTATCGCACACCCGTTCCGACGCAACAACTTCGACATGGTGAGCGGTGGAATCCGAGTTTAAATCTTTATCGATGTAAATTTTGCACACGTCATTCTCGCAACTCTGCGTTTGGAGAAGCACCGCGTTAGTTTCGATGGGAGAACACGATCGCGTCGTTTCCGCGCAATCTTTCGCGAACAAAAGACGCGACGCTGCTTCATCTTGCTTTATATCCGCCGCTTTTTCTACCTGCTCGGTATTGATTGCGTTATTTTCAAAACCAATCGCTGTTTCGCGTATAGACACAGGAAGGTTTTCTTCTATTTTATCTCCAATTGAGATAACAATTTCTACATTATTTTTCTTCGCTGAAGAAAAATCCTCGCTGGTTCGGTTTGTCGAGTCACTGTTCTTCTCAGGACTATTTAAAATTTCACCTTCTTCCAGATTCGAGTTGTTCTCTGCGGTGTACTTTGTAGTATCCTCTATCGATTCTGCGGCTTTGGTATCCGACTCGTTATTCGCTCCTTGTTGTTCAGAATCCTCTGCAACTGCTCTACCGGGAGACGATCGCAAGTCAATTTTTGTCGCAGTCAATTTTGTCTTGCTATTCCTATCCAACCTTTTATTGTCCGAAGCATTTTCTCCCGCAACTTTTGTATCTCTTCGTGTTCTGCGACTTTCATACGTCTTCCTGTCTCTGTACGAACTACCGCTTTCTCTGTCCTCGACGTCGCTTGCTGAAGTTTTGAGTTTATTCCGCAAATCACGTTCTCCACTACCGCACCTTCTGTTGCTTCTTTCATTTTCCTTGATGTCGTGAATTCTCTTTACTCTGTCGCTTTTGTGTTGGACATCGTCGTATTTGCTGTCTTTGTAATCATTGTATTTTCTGTTCTTATAATTATCGTATTTGCTGTATCTATAATCATCGTATCTGCTGTCTCTATACGATTTTTTCGATCTTTCCTGGGAGCGATGTTTGCTGGAAGTTTCGTAATCACTCCTGCTCCTTGAGCGACTCCTCTTGGGTGAGGTGTATCTGTAACCGTTCTTCTTGTAGCTGTTAGATCTTTCTGAAACGTGATTTGACGTAGAAGCTGTGCAAAAATTTTTCAAACTCTCCGTAAATCTCCTCCCGTTGTAATCTTTTACTGAATTACATTCCTCTCGTCTTTTCTGACTATGGTTTCTGATTATGGTTGCATCATCCCGATCATCTTTTACATCTTCGTGCTCAGAAACGATTTTACTTCTCGTACTGTATCGTTTTGATCTGACAGGATGTCCGATATCCGATCGGTAATCAAAGTCAACATTATTTTCCGTCTCGTATTCCGTAAGATCGTCCTTCAGATCGTAACGTGTAATACAATTATCAGTTTCACTGAACGCGGTCTTTTCTTTGTTATCGTCAAGCTTCAAACGTTTAGTTTCGCGCATATTGTCGTCTGAATTCTTCCTCTTTTCTGAGTTTTTTTTACGTGAAGTTTCTAAAATAGTTTATACAATTACATAGTTTGTATTGTACAATTAAAAAAAGCTAGTTGTTTATATAATTTACAATTTTTATACTAAATATACTTAATTGTATTTAAAAAACCACAAATTTTTGTTTGTTACCTGAATTAGAATTTTGTGTAGTTACAGTCAATTCATTGTTTTTATTATTTACACCAGATTGAGATCCGTTCTCTTTATCACTTTCTATAACGTTTTCTTCAGACATATCTATTACACTCGGTTCTATGCTACACTTTGACAATGCCAATTGTTTTTTCTCCTCTTTTTCATTTTCCATAATTCTTTTTTGCAACCTTTCTCCAAATAATGTGAGTTTCTGATTACTGTGATCGTTATTTTGTTTTTTACTTTCATATCTGTCGTGATACAAGTCAGTTTGCTGTGGTTCACTTTCAAATTCATTGGAATAAGTTAAAGTAACATTTTCATAGTTTTGCTGCTGAGAATAAGACGATCTATGAGCAGAATGAACCAAGGATTCGTTCTTGATATTTCTTTTAAAAGTTACATCATCCAATCTGTAACAAAATTTATGATATGAGAAAGAAAAAAAGAAAGCATTAGTTTTTGCGTATTTTACAAACTATTCATACCTTTTCCTAAGATTTTCTATCATTTTGTCTTTTCGCGCTATTTCCAATTTTGCAGTTTTCAACAAGGAAGACAAATTACGCTCCAAAGTTTCATTACTTTTTTGAAGCTTTTCAAATTTACTCATCAACAAATCGAAGTTCTTCTTTATTTCTGTGCAATTGCAAGATTGGTCCTTCACAGAAAGTAAATGAAATAATAAATATTACAGAAAGTGGAATATTAAAGATTTATATTTTGTAAGAACAAAGATTTTTTTGTATGTGTGTACATGAAATATTACATTTAATTAGCACAATGTAAATTATAACCACAAAATGTAATTATTACAAAGTAATTTTAAATATTATTCTCTAATATATAACACAAATAATGTGAAATGTGTATAACAAGAAGCTTCAAACTACACTTATCTTACAGGTTATGTCAATATGTTACGTTAAAAACTTTTTACCACTAAGTTGAATCTTGCAATAATACAGATTTATATTAAAATATATCACATTGTGGGTAAATATATATAGATACTGTTTCTTGTGTACAAAACGATTTGTTTTTGCGTGCAAATCTTCACTCGCGATAGCACTCTAACCTAACCTAACATTATGTCATTAATAATTCTCACATTTTTGTTGTCAGAATCCTGTTTAGAATCAAAAGTCGGTAAATCTGCATAGATATCGATGTCATCCTCCATGTTTTCTAAATATTAATTGTCATCCCATATCAATCATTCTTGCATTCTCTCAAGTATGTATCATCTGTACATACATACACACGCATCCCAGAATCATGAAACTACACTACTCTGTAGTCTGTACACATAACCCTGGATCCTCATGCAGAGACTGGCGCTTTAGCACCAGCGCTCAAGCGCTGTTTCAACTGTTGAGCAAAGCTAATAAGAGCTGTCATTAGGTCTGTTTTTCTTGCATACACTTTATACACTTTAGTGTAAAGTGTACACTTTAGCGTTTTTCTTGCCGGAAGTGACGTTGAGTTACGTCATTACACGCTGTTCTTCTTGAAAGTGTAGTACACTTTAATGACGTAATTTACACGTTTTGTACACCTCCTTGAGAGGTGGTGTAAAGCTAGTGTAACGTTACAGCTTTAGTTTNTTTATGTTTTAAATGTCATTTTAGAACTCAGTTGGATGTGATGAGATGTTCATCAAGTGAAGTAATAGGTTATTGTATCAAATTTTACATATATATAATAAGATATATGTTAAAATATGTTAAATTCATTACAATACCATTCTTTCAATATGATATAAATTATAAATTCTTTAAATATAGTATTAAATTATATGTTAAATTATTAAAAATTATTTTGTTTGTGTAGTATTTTTGTGTGTTTTTTTTTTATTTTTTATTTTATTTTTTCTTTTCTTATCGGATGACAGATCAAACTCCAAAATATGACCAAGCAGTTCTGCATTTATTCTATTTATGTTACACTTGTAACAGTACAATTATTAACTTTTAAAAAACTAAATATTTTTTACTCTTTTTTACTTAAAAATGCTTAAAACTTAAAACAAGCAACACTATGCACAAATAACTGACTACGACTACGTTTACACGCACTGATAAAACCGTTTTAATAACACTGATATAACCGTTTTCATGAAACTAACCAATCATAAGTATTCCTGTAAAGAATGGAATGACTGTGATTGGCCAGTTTCATAACTNCGGTTGTTATTAAAACGGTTTTACCAGTGCGTGTAAACGTAGTCACTGTAGTACACTTTTGTTACACTCTGGCGTTTTTCTTGAAAAGCATACACTTTACACGATGTTTCCCCCACTTCCAAAAAGTGTAGTGTATTAAAAGTGTAAGGTGTACACTTTACACTTTTCGTGTATGCAAGTAAAACAAACCTAATCCTCATGACAGCTCCAATGCTTTAGCGCAGTTGACTCCCACTACCCGCTTTTCACCAATCAACGCTCGGTGTCACTGCGCCGGTGTCTGTATGAGGATCCAGCCTAAGCTTCTTGCACAATGGACGAAATAGCGATAGCGATAGAAATACCAAAAGACTTTTATGTAGACAATATTATTTATATACTTTAATCTTATGTAGATAAAATAATAGTATTTAATTAAAAGTATTTTATCTAAATTAATGTATGTAGATACTTTTATCTTATCTAGAAAAAGGAATAATATTTTAATAAAAATATCCTATGTAGATAAAAGTAGCTAGATACTATTATTTTAACTAGATACAATTATCTAGATACTTTTATTTTATTTCAATAAAAGTATCTCATATATAGGCTGCTTTCCTCTTAGGAGACACAGTCGACACAAGTCGACATAAAAGTCATTCTGTCTTTGTTCAGTATTCAGTGAGAAACAAAGAAAAGAATTCGCAATTTCGCAATGCGAACTCCTCATATGAAGGAGAATTCGCAATTCCCTCAAGTTTGCGAATTCCTTATATGAGGAAGAATTCGAAATTCCCACAAGTTTGCGAATTCCTCATATGAGGACGACTTCGCAATTCCCTCAAACTTGCGAATTCCTCATATGAGAAAAAATTCGCAATTCCCTCAAACTTGCGAATTCCTCATATAAAGGAGAATTCGCAATTTCCTCAAGTTTGCGAATTCCTCATATGAGAAAGAACTCGCAATTCCCTCAAATGAGAAAGAATTCGCAATTACCTCAAGTTTGCGAAGTCCTCATATGAGGGAGAATTCGCGATCCCCTCAAATTCGCGATCCCCTCATATGAGGAAGAATTCGCGATCCCCTCATATGAAAGAGAATTCGCGATCTCCTCAAATTCGCGATCCCCTCATATGATTGAAAATTCGCGATCCGCAAAAAATTCGCGATCTCCTCATATGATTGAAAATTCGCGATCCGCAAAAAATTCGC